CTACACACACACACACACACACACACACACACACACACACACACACACACACACACACACACACACACACACACACCACAAAACCATGGCCACTTCAGCCAACCGACGTGGCGGCTGTTGACGGATCCCGGTGACAACTGCAGTGCCACGGCCTCCGTTCGTCACGCCGCGCACACCATGGACGGTCGTTATCTTAATGGTCAGGCAGTGGAGATGCGTTGGCGCGCATATGCGTTGCGCTGGTGGTGCCGGTGGTGTGTTGTGAGGACTTGTTCTCCATCACGGTGCACGTGTCGACTTGAACTCATGTACATGTACATACACGCGCGTACGTGTGTACATGTGTGCATGTGTACATAAGTACCCACACATCTCACACCTCCCCGTGTCCTTGTCCTCCCTTTACTGCCTTTGCAATTGCCAGTCATTGGCGGGCTGCGTGGGCGGCTGAGTCTTCCCTCATCGGAAACCATCGTCGCTCCTGTCGGCTGCACGAAAGGTGCTGAGGAGGGCGAATCGCGAGTGGCGTGTGTGTCCTGCTCCCAACCTGCACGTCCACACGCACACACACACACACACACACAGACACACATGCACAATTCGCTTTCCACCGCCCTCCGTGTCTCACTCTTCCACTCACTCACCAATGCTCACACACACGCATGTGTGCAACTGACAGGCCACTATTCGCACAGCTACTTTGATCTACCGTGCGATCCCTGCTCCAAGGGAACATATGCACCAAACAGCGGTCACTTCTGGTGCGTGTAGAACGTGAATTTGATTGCGCAGCCACATACACACACACACACAGACACACACACACACAGACACACACACACACACACACACACACACACTGTACTGACGTGTGCACGGTTGTGTTCTGTGCGCTTCAGTTGCATTTCCTGTCCCGCCGACACAAGCACAGTTGACAACGGTGCGTATGAGGGTGATGCACACGTGCGCCCGTGTGTGTGTGCATGTGCACGTGTGTATTGTGCGTATGACTCGATCTCTTACGTGCTGTCATGCTGCACGGCATCTCACGACACCACGCCCCATTTCTATTTCTCAATCACGATCACGTCATCATCATACCACCACCGTCATCGCGCTCATCGTCGTGCTCATCATTGCAATACCAACTTCACCAACACCGCCAACAGGAGCAACGGAGGCGGGCCAGTGTGCTGCGTGTCCGGATAATTACTGCAAGCACGGCTCGTGCCATTTCAACAACAGGACGCAGCGTCCGGAATGCCACTGCAGCTTCGTCTACCTTGACGACAGGTGAGGAAGCATGCATGCAGTTTTGTGTTTATTTGTGTGCGTGTGTGTGTGTGCGTGTGCGTGTGCGTGCGATGAATGAGATGTACCGCGGCACGCCGTTTTCGAGTTGAAAGCAGCCCGTCTGACTGCAACGCGCACGTTTTTGGTTTTTTTTTTTTTTTTCAATTCGGCACTTATACCCAATGCAACCAAACCCCATGCAACACCTGCCATCACCGCCACCACCGCCACCACTGTCGCCGTCGCCCTACTAGATGTGACATACCGTGGGTGATTGTGTTCACGGTGGTTGGCGGGTTCTTCGTGTTTGCGGGGCCTGTCGTGGTCACGTGGTACCGCCGATACAAACAGCGGCTCGAGGTCAAGGAAATCAGCGCTGAACAGACGCGCCAGGAACTGGAGGAGATGCACCAATGTGTGTGTGTGTAAATGTGAACACGTGTGTGTGTGTGTAGATGTGAACACGTGTGTGTGTGTGTGTATGTGCGCTTGGGTGAACTTCAATCTGTTATTTGCAAGACCCTCACCTCCGCCACCTACTTACCCCATCAAATCTCCACCACCACCATCATCACCACCACCACCACCACAACAGCGTGGATGATTGCGATTGAAGAGCTTGAGCACCTGCATCTGATTGGCGAGGGCGCGTGCAGCACCGTCTATCGCGCCGACTGGCACAACATGCGCGTCGCCGTCAAGAAACTCAGACCCGTCAGTTATGCCATGTGACGTAACGATGATGCAATGGGATGAGATGTGCTGTGATGTCGGCGTTGGTGTTCTTTGACATCGTCCCTCTTCCGCCCCGCCTTGACCATGACCACCTCATCCCGTCATCACATCCCCATCACTCTTCTCTCCATCAGGCGCTCCTGGAATTGGATCCAACGGGATTCACCGAAGACTTTGCCCGCGAAATTCGCGTCATGCGGTGCGTGCGTGTGCGCGTGTGTGTTTGTGTGTGCGTGTTTGACTTCGGTCAATGATCGAGCTCCCAACATGTGGCTTAACGCAACCACCCACCCCTCTTCCTTCTCTCCTCCTTCCACCTGCTTCCACTTGTCCCATCAACAGGTCTGTGCGCCACGCCAACATTGTGACGTTTTATGGCGCCGGGCGAGAGGGAATGGTCCCGTTTCTCGTCACAGAGTTTATGGCGCGCGGATCGCTGCAGGACTTGCTGCAAGGTGTGTGTGTGTGTGTGTGTGTGTGTGTGTGTGTGTGTGTGTGTGGTTGGCAACCTGTGCCACCCTGTTATTGCATTCTCTGCATCTCCCATTTCATGACCATTCGCGCACATTTGCTCAATTTTCCCAATTCACACTTGTCCATCGCCACGCCCTTCCTCCACCCCGCCATCAGAACGCGACGAGCCGTTCCCGCTGGATGTCAAGATTCGTTTTGCTCTCGATGCCGCAAAGGGAATGCGCTTCCTCCACTACCATAACCCGCCCTGGATACACAGGTGCGCCGGCGGCTGTTGTGTGCGCGTGTGCGTGTGTGCGCGTGTGTGCGTGTGTGCGTGTGTGCGTGTGTGCGCGTGTGTGCGTGTGTGCATGTTGAGCGTGTGTGCGGGCGTGTACTCTGCATCCGCTTGCTCACATGCTGGTCTGACCGTGACTGCCACATCTCACATCACGGCGTGTGCGTGTGTCGCGTGACATAACACATTTCAGGGATCTGAAGACGGCGAATCTTCTCGTCAACGAATCGTACACCGTCAAAGTCGCGGTGAGCACACACACACACACACATACACGCACACAAGCGAGTGCCGACTCTGCCCCTTGTTTCCTTCTTTGCCTTCACGACCACATCAAGCCGTCACCACAATCACCCTCTCTCTCTCTCTCTCTCTGCTCTGTCTGTGATGCCGATTGTTTGCAGGACTTTGGCACGTCTCGCCTTGCATCGCTCGACAAACCAAACACCACCCCCGTCAGAAGGTGCATGCAGTGTTGAACACGCTGACGCTGTTGCATTGTTGTTGAATTGTGTCATTGTTGCATTGTCGTTTACTGATTGCCAGTTGTGGCCTCACTCGTTCAACCACAACAACAACACCAAGCACAATCTCACTCATTGACTTCCTCCTGTCCCTTCCCCATTTCCAACACACACACACATATATGTATATATGTATGTATATGTACGTACACACACACATACACACATACGCAGACAAAGCGGAAGCACCCATCCAACGCCAGGGAAGAAGACCAAGGGCAAGAAGAAAAAGGACAAGAAATCAACAAAGACAAAGCAGTCTGAGCGAACCCCACTTCTCTCCCCGTAAGTATGCCATTGTGCCTGCAGTGGTGACAGTGCTGGTGATGGTGATGGTGATCGTGAAGTGACGGTGACAGTGGTGGTTAGGTGAAGCATGAGCACACACACACACACACACACACACACACACACACACACACACACACACACACACACACACACACACACACACACACACACACCAATCTGTTGACAAACCGAATCACATCCTCCCTCTTGCTTGCGTTTCATCACCACCACCAACAGCAGCGGCGGTGCCATCAACGACGACCGTGAGGACTACCTTCCCTCCCTCCTCGACCATCCTGGGCCCAGACACGCACGCGCACGCACGAGCACGCACACGCCAACAAGCAGCACGCCAACAAGCAGCAGTAGCAGTAGCGGAGACAGACGTGATGGTGGTGCGTCGCGTGGTGGCGAGGAGAGAGCGGTTGTGCAGACACCGACGCGCGACCGGCCTGCGAGCATCAGGGCAGAGGCTGGAAGTGAGGGTGACGCAATCCTGGCCACACCCCCTGGTGGACGGTTTGTCCGCTCGCGACTGCCGTTTGCGGAGTCGATTGCCATGACGGGCAACGTGGGCACGCCGCTGTATCAGGCGCCGGAAGTCATTTCCGAGGAGCCGTACTCGGTCAAGGCAGATGTCTACAGGTTGGTTGTGGGATTTTTGGTGTGTGTGTGATTTGTGGTGTGGTTGTGTGTGCGTGTGTGTGTGCGTGTGTACATCTTGCCGTTTTGCTTGCATATTGCCTGTTCTTCATGTCATGTCTTCGTGCCACGTTGCCTTCCAACTGTGGCGACAGCTGCCTGGCTTCTTGTTACCCTAATCCCTCACAACCCACCGCGTGCCATTCTGTCATTGCACAGCTTTGGTCTGGTGCTGTGGGAAATCTACACCGGTGTGCCGCCGTTCTCCGACTTTCCGAAGCTCAGGTTGGGCTGTGACACCGCAGCACACGTGGCGCGTGGCGCGTGGCGCGTGGCGCGTGGCGCGTGGCGCGTGTTGGTGCAGCTTCACACTGTGGTCATTGCTCATCTTGATCCTCTTTTGTGTCCTGTGTGTAGTCCCAACACTCACAACAACGCCTTTTGCTCCATCATCTGCTCACCGCCATCACCACCTCCACCACCACCACCATAACAACACATCCCCAACTCTCCACCACTGCAGCCTGCATGGTCTGCGTGCGCGCGTCGTTGCGGGTGATCGCCCAACTGTTCCGCTCGACTGCCCAGAAGCACTCGCCCAACTCATACGCGAGTGCTGGCAGCCACGCCCAGCAGGTGTGCAAGTGGTGGTGGTGGTGATTTGTGGTGGTGATTTGTGGTGGTCGTCTGTGTGTCTTTGAGTGTGTTCGCCAGCCATCACGCGACCATTCTTGTCATCTCACCCCATCTCATCCCATCTCTCATCATCATGGCCGCTCACGACCACTCACGCACTCGTCACGCGTTCACCGCTGCACAGGCCGCCCGCATTTCGACAAGATTGTGCAAACGCTCCTGCGCATCAGTGACACGACCTCCAAGCTGCCAAAACACACGTCCAGTGCGTTCATGCATGCACGTGTCATCGCAGTGGTGGTGGTGATGGTGGTGGTGGTGGTGGTGTCGAGAGCTGTGGGTTTGTGGCCGTGTGATGGGCGGTGGTGTTGAGGGAGATGCCACCGACGCAAGCAAACGCGTGCCGTGTCTTCGATCTCACACGATTACACACAACACACACACACACACACGCAACACACACACACACGCAACACACACACACACGCAACACACACACACACACACACACACACACATAGACACGTCTGTGCGGCGGGTGTCGTCTGGGATTGTGCACATGCCGCCACCGTCCACGCCGCCATCGCGACGCTCACAGGAGGAGCGCAGTGAATCGTTCACGTTTGTCACGTGATGACGAGATGATGGCGTCATGCCGCACGATGATGGTTCATGATGGTTCATGATGGTTCATGGGAGGAAGGCGCTTGTGCCAGCTTCTTTGTTGAACCCTTCATCTCCCCTGCCTCTTGCTTTTCTCTTCGACGATATCACGACCGTGTAAGCGGAATGTAACACTAAGTGATGCAGCTTTGTTGTTCGCTCTTGTGCTTGCACTGGCAGCTGCACACACACACACACACGCACACGCACACACACACACACACACACACACACACAGATACACATGCATATGCGACGTTGCTTGCTTGCTTGCTCGTTTCATTTAAATGAACTGTGAATGGTGAATCCCACAGCCAGACAAACAGACAAGAAACACACGAAGGGAGTGAGGCGAGACAGGAGAAGGAGGGCATGAAGCGCAAGGCAGTGGATGTGAAAGCAGGACATGTGAAAGCAGTGCAAAGCAGAGAGCCACGCGCGCAAGGATGAGAACGTACACATGCAGACATGCAGCACGTGTGGTTGGTTAAGGCGGTGGCGTTTGCACAAACAGCAAACGAAACAAGGCGAGGGTTGACGTGCACGTAACAGCAGCGCCGACACACACACACACACACACACACACACACACACACACACACACATACACACACACACATGAACAAACAAAGATTGCAGGGAGAGCAGTGTGCGTGGGTGTGATTGAATCACAAAGCACCATGTCACGCAGTTCAGGCACCACAAGAAGACGGCCACAGGGCATGGAACAAAGTGAAAATGCGAAAGACGTGCGTGCGCCTTAGCACACGCTGCGCCATATCACATCACACCTTGTCATCATCATCATCATCATCGTCACGTCAGACGACTTGCGTGTAGCCGTGACCAGAGTGCACATATGTGGTGGTGTGTGTGCGGGAATGGCCGCAGCAGGCCGCGAAGCAGCACGCGCCAACCACCATGCAGTAAATCACGGGAATCACTGTGCAGGAGAAGACGCATGCACACAAGAAGGGTGGTGAGATGCATGGGAGCAGCAGGGGGGGGGGGCAGTGTGTGCGCGTGTGTTTATGCAAGTGCAAGTGCAGGGGGGGGGTGCTTGTATGTGTGGAGCACGGGGGCCATTCACAACCGAGCGCAAGGACCAACGACAGAACAGCAGGAGAGCTGGCTGCACTCACGGATGCAGATGACGAAGACGGCCACAGAGACGGAAACGGCTGTCATGGGCAATGCAACATGGGCAATGATTGAGTGCTTGCTGGGTAGGATAGCAGGATGGGCGAGCAAATTCAACCAAAGGCGGGTGCATGTCACGATGTGTGCGTGCATGCGTGCGTGCGTGCGTGCGTGCGTGCGTGCGTGTGAATTGGTCTGTAGTTGGAAAACGCCGATCATCAGGTGTATGTAATGTGCTCGTCATGCCGTGCAGTACCAATGACGAGGACGCGGCGGGCAGCTTGAAGATCGCAGCACTCTGCCGAAAAAACACCCGTTATGCCATGGAGAGGTTAGACGCCTTCAAAATGCTCACTTAGGACAAGCAAAAGGCCCCGAAGAAACGACAACAACGACAATAACGACAACAACGACAATAACAACAACGACGACAGGGTGCACAGTAACACACTAGCGGTACCTCTGCAGTCGCCGTTGCTGTAGCGGCTGCAGCAGGACGTCAAGTGGCTGTACTTCTCCTCAACGGGCGGACTATCAAATGTGTTGAGAGGGCGTGTGCAGTTGATTGAGAGATGAGACCCGAAAGAAGTACACAGAAGAACTCAACATAAGCAGAAGAAGACGAGAGAAGCAGGCAAAACAAACAACACCCAAAACACTAAAACAACAAACAGCACCTACGAGTCACACAAGACCGCAAAACACAACAAGCTCAAGCGCATGCGACGACGCCGTACCATCTGCCGTTGTTTGGGGACTGCGCGGCTGCAGGGCCAGCAAGCAGGGCCACTGCAACGGCAGCGAGCGCACAGAACAGAACGAAGCGGGTGGTGGCGCGCATGTTAGTGGTGTTGTTGGTGTTGGTGTGTTGTTGGATTGTTTGTGGCGGTGCTGAGCCTGGCTTTGTAGAAAAATAATTGGAGATATTCGTGATAATTCACCACAGCTTGTGTGGAAGAAGGAAGAAGAGGTTACAGTGGTGGTTGTGTTGGTGGTTGTGTTGGTGGTTGTATTGGTGGTTGAAAGGTGCACTGGAGAAGCAGACACAAACAATCAGGGCGAACACACGCACGACAAGCACACGCAGCGGCAAAGGGGAGAGGAAAGGAAGGAAAGCAGCCCGGGCGCGTTGAAGGAAAGCAGCGTCGTGTGGATGCTGTGGAACACCAGCAGCAACAATGCTGCGTTTACCACTCAATCTTGCAGGCCGGGTTGGGGATGAAGACCTGTTGCATGCGGTGGCGTTTGTTGTTGGGGGGAGGGGGAGGGAGGTGGATGAACATGTGAACGAGCGTGTGATTAAGTGTGTGCTTCAGCGTGTGAGCATAATTGTGATTGAGCGCTTGATTGAGCGTGTGAATGAGTACAAGCACAGCCATGGAAGGACGGACGAGCATCGTCATCACTCATCATCATCATCACGTACGTTGGGGTCGCTGATGCCAATGGTGACATCCGAGAACTCCTCATAGTGGAAGCCCGTGGCGGCGGCATAGTGGTCGTCTGTCATCACCAAGGACAGCACGTCAGCGTGTGTGTGTATGACGGTGTTTTTGCACACTCTCGCGCCCGCATACACACGCACTTACACTCACATACAATCTCGCGCACACACACACACACACACACACACACACACACACACGCTTGCTGCATACCGCGGACGGGGACGCAGTCCATGGTGAAGGTCTGGTAGTCGGTGCTGCGCTCGCCATGGTACTGCAAAGAGAAAGGCGTGGGGGGGGGGAGGAGGATGAAGTGGATGAGGTGGAAGGAAATGAGCAGCAAGGTGGGGAGGGGACACGCAGGGTCGACGGACGCGCAATGAAACAAGCAGCAAAGGGAGAAAGCAACAGCCATCCTATATATACACACACACATCCCAGTATCACAATCAACAGCACAATATAGACATCGATAGCGTGCGCACCGTGGCGTTGGGAGTGAACCACTGGGAGAGCTGGATGGAGTCCTCGCCAGAGCCGAGGATCTCGTATCCGATAAACTCGGCCTGCGGTGAGAGAGAGAGAGAGAGAGAGAGAGAGAGAGAGAGAGAGAGAGAGAGAGAGAGAGAGAGAGAGAGTGTGTGTGTGTGTGTGTGTGTGTGTGTGTGTGTGTGTGTGTGTGTGTGTGTGAGTGAGTGAGTGAGTGAGTGTGTGTGTGTGAGTGAGTGAGTGAGTGAGTGAGTGTGTGTGTGTGTGTGAGTGAGTGAGTGAGTGAGTGAGTGAGTGAGTGAGTGAGTGAGTGAGTGTGTGTGTGTGTGTGTGTGTGAGTGTGTGCGAGTTCAAGCGGTCATGCTGCACATCATGTGATGAGGTGCAACCGGCCATGTTAATGCGCGGCCACTAAACCGTACATCATCGTTGATGTCGTGGCGGTGGAAGGGGATGGTGAGGTTGTACACGCGGCACTCCTGCGTGTCCAGGTCGGTGACGTACGCCTGTTGGAAAACGCGCAGCGAGCAATGGTGGTGCGTGAAGTGACATACATCGTCAGGTGTGCTGCAAACAAAGGATGTCAAATGGTGTCAAATGGCGTTCACTTTCACCTCACAAGCTACACACACACACACACACACACACACACACACAACCGCATCAACACTCACGCATACAAGCACACACGCATACACACACAACACAACACACCTCCTGCTCTTCGTAGAGCTCGAGAACCATGAAGCGCTTGTGGTCAATGTCGCCGCGCACAACCATATCCTGGTGAACAGCAGCAGTGTGCAGACACATGGCGCAATGTGAGGCGGTGAGGTGTTGGTGTTGTTGCGCCAATGGCGTTGGTGATGGTGGACAGTCTTCGTACGCCTTCCACCTTGGCATATCAATGTGTGCAGCTGCATACGAGGGCATGCATTACATGAGTCGTGGCTTACTTACCAGCATCCACTTGCGCTTGTTCACACCATCGTAGGCATCTGCCGAATCGAGTTAGAAACAGCATGCGAAGACAGTGTCAGCGGTGACAAAAGCTGTGTGTGTGTGTGTGTGTCTGTCTGTGTGTCTGTATTGGGAGGGAACACACGACGTTGCTCCACACAAAGTGACTTTCACCGCAGAAAACGTTGCGCACGACGTGTACTTACAACGGCCCCAGGTGCGGTCTGCGGTGAAACAGGAGGGATGCGGGCAAGAGAGGACACACGCGGAAGAGCAAAGAGCATAACATCGAGTGAGTTGAGAAAGCACACCAAATGGCAAGTGGTGGGGTGCCAAGACATGACTCAACCACACACACACTACACATGCGTGTGTGTTGTTTGCATGCAGGACAAGTTTGTTTGAATGGCGCCTGACTAACACTCGCTGGAGTGCTGGTGGTACGGGCGGCGGTTTGGATCGACTGCACAGCAGCAAGGGCGGGGGGGGGGCGGTGGCGCGAAGAAAGCAAACGCGTGTTGTGAGAGGAGACAAAATTATAGTCATGAACATAGAGGTAACATACGTTGCACGATGCATGCAGCCAATCAAATACAACGCATCACATCACGTGGTCAGGCACGCACATCGGGTGGAGCGAGCCTCCCATTGCTGCGGCATCTTGCACCTGCGACAACAAGCACATGGTGTGGCGAGACGCAGCACAGCGGAAGCACGCATGCCAGTGTCAGCTGGAGAATACAGTTGTGAAAGCAGTCTCACACCATGAAAGCAAGATTACACCGTGAAAGCAATGGTGCTCCCTCATGTCACAACTACCAACTACCATCTCCTTCATGCTCTCCCCTCCCTCCCCCTGTATTCTACTCCCTCTCTTCTTGTTTGGTTCTTCTCACTTTTGCTGTGCGGAGGCAAGCGCAGTGCAGCCCAGGAGGGCGAGCGCAGCAAGAACAACAGCAACCTTCATCTTGCTTGTTGCTTGCTTGGTGGTGGTTGGTCGTGGGAACAAACGCGAAACAAAAACAAAAACCGGCAAAGAAATAGGCCACACCAGTGATTTGACCTAGTTGTAGTAGGCACTGACAACCACCAAAGCAGACAGGCACACACCGCGCCACTTCTTCTTGGTGTGAAGCAGAGCATAGCAGAGCACGTTGTCATCCCTCTTGCTCCCCAAACACACACACACACACATACACACATACATACACACACACACAGGCGCACACGGGACGCGATGGCTGAAGACGGTGAAGTTGCGAAGCGAGCCAAACTGCTGAAGCCTGCCGAGGGCCAAGGCATGAAGACGGCGAGCGGGCTGCCTGCCCAGGTTGGCCCATCCATCCTGGCCAGCGACCTCTCCATGCTGGCTGCAGACTCCAAAAAGGCCATGGAACAATGGACAGCAGGTGCTTACCCGAGTGCGCGCACAGTGGAAGGGACGTGTGGGCGTGAAAGGGAGAATGCATGATGGAGGGGGAGGAAGGTTTTAAGTGTGAAAGCGGGAGACGGAAAGCGGGTGCATTGGTTCGAATGTTTGCTTTGCTGTGGTGTCGCACGGCTCAACACTCAACCACTGCCTGTGCTGCTGTTGCTGTTGCTGTTGTCATGCTGCTGTGCTGTTTAGATTACCTGCATGTGGACATTATGGACGGTCACTTTGTGCCCAACTTGACGATTGGCCCACCGGTGGTCAAGTGCCTGCGCAAGCACACCACAGCGTTCTTGGGTGCGTAAACTCAATGTGGTGATACAAGTGTAGCAAGAAACAAGTGTTGGCGTCCTTGTCCGGCCTTGGCGCTGGCCTTGGTTTGTACCGCCTGCGGCTCGCTCTTGCAGCTCACTGCTGCGTGCGTGTACATTGCTGTGCAGACTGCCACTTGATGGTGTCCAACCCGGAGCACTGGGTGAAGGATATGGCCGCTGCTGGCGCCGACCGCTTCACTTTCCACTTTGAGGCCACAAGTGCGTGTGTGTGTTTGTTTGTGTGTGTTTGTATATTTGTGTGTGTGTGTGCATGTTTGTGTGTATGTGTGTGTGTGTGTGTACACGTGTGTGTGTGTGCGTTTCAGGACGCAGCTTGCATTCGTGCCCGTTTGCATGCTCGTTTTCAAACTCCCTGGACATTGCGACTTGTGTATGGCTCGCTTTGCCCAGATGATGCGGATGCCCTGATTGAGGAAGTTAACAAGACCGGCATGAAGGTGGGTGTACACGCGCTTACTTGTGCGATCCTCGAAGTGAGAACTGCCTCACAATTTCACTCCTCTCCTCACTAATCTTACACACACACACACACACACACACACACACACACACACACACACACACACACACACACACACACACACACACACATACACACACACACGCGCGCGCGCACGTTCGCGTGTATTGGGCAGTGCGGAATGGTGATCAAGCCAAAGACGCCCGTGGATGTACTGTTTCCATATCTGGACCGCATTGACCTCGTCCTCATCATGACGGTCGAGCCGGGATTTGGCGGCCAGTCCTTCATGGTCGACATGATGGACAAGGTGTGTGTGTGTGTGTGTCTGTGTCTGTGTGTCTGTGTGTCTGTGTGTCTGTGTCTGTGTCTGTGTCTGTGTCTGTGTCTGTGTCTGTGTGTGTGTGCTGAGTTGCGTTGCGCGTTGAACTGTACTGCTTTGTGCTTGGCTCTGTCCCTGTTCTGCTGTGTCTGTCTGTGTGCACGCCCCCGCCTCACGCCGCCACCGCATCATCATCGTGGTGCCACCGCGATAGGTGAAGACGCTGCGGGCGAAATCGCCGAAACTGAACATTGAGGTGGACGGCGGCCTCAACCTCAAGACCATCGACACCGCCGCAAAGGTGTGGTGTGGTGTCTTGTCTTGTCTTGTTGTGCCTTGTTGCGTGTGTTTGTGGTGGTGCTGTGTGTCTTGTAGTGTGGGAATCTTGTGTCTATGCTCGCCATTGCCAACCAACACGCACAGTTCCACCGATATCAGCCACCAACATCTCACCACCATCATCTCCCCACCACATCTCACTACATCTCACCGCCGTCATCGTCACGCCAGGCTGGTGCGAACATGATTGTGGCAGGGAGTGCTGTGTTCAAGGCTGAGGACCCGAAACTCGTGGTGCAGACCCTCCGCGACAAGGTCGTCCAGCACTGCCCCTGACGGTGCTGTGTTCCTCGGGACGCCCAGGCCGCGCTGCTGGCTGGTGGAGTTCGGTCGATGCTTGGTTCGATAATGGATGGGTGGTGGATTGTTGAATGGTTGAGTGGTTGAGTTGAGTGGATGACGACTTGCCTCTTGAGTGCAATGCTGTGTCGTGTCGGTTGTTGCGGTTGCTTGCATGCTGGCTTGTCATTGCTTTTGTTGTGACTGTGCGTTGTTGCGTTGCTCTGCTTCTCGTTACTTTGGCGTTGTCCTTGCGTTTAATGAACTCACGTGAAATGCACGCACATGTGTACCGGGCGAGGGAAGCAAAGGTCAACCACACACACGCACACACACACACACACACACATCACATAACATTGCGTGCGTTGCTGGTTGTGACTCATGTGACCTTGAGTGTTCTGCTGCCGTTTGAGATGATTCTGCTGATGTCATACGAGAGCTTCGACACCTCCCGTCGCACCTCCTCCTCGTCCAGCTGCCATCGTCGTCGTCGTGGTGGTGGTGGCGGCGGTGTGATGTGCATGAGAGTGCATGAGTGTGTTAGGTGCAAGAGTGTACATAAGTGTGCAAGAGTGTTCCTTGAGTGTGTGTGTCAACAACATGCAAACGAAGGTCATGCCTCCCCGTGATCACCACCACTTTCAACCACCACCACCCACATCATCATCCACTCACCCCCGGATTGGCTGATCGGATCCATTGCGAGAGGATGAAGATCTCGGCGCTGCAGTCATAGCAGTGGTCCAGGCCCTCCCCCTGTGGCGACAAAGGTGGTCATGATGGTGATGATGGTGATGATGGTGGTGATGATGGTGATGATGATGATGATGATGATGATGATGATGATGATGATGGTGATGATGAGGTGGAGCCAGGTCCCGCAGGCGCTGCTGTGTTTTGTACATGTTGAACAGACACGCACAAGCAAGATTGCCACAATTCAAACGCACACACACACACACACACACACACACACACACACACACACACACACACACACACACGGACCTGCACGCTGTGCTCGTAGTATGTTGTGCGGGTGATGACGTTGTGGTGGAACATGAGGCCTTCAAAGTCGCGGAAACTGAATGTTCGTCGCGCCTCCTGCAGCGCGGTGTGGTGTGGTGTGTCGGGTTGTGGCGTGTTTGCGTGAGAGAGAAGCAAAAGGGAGGGAGCGTGTGCGAGTGTGTGCGGGCGTGTTTGTTTGTGTCTGGGTGACGCCTCACAACTACTACAGTCGTCACGCTGACAACAATCACCAAGCACCAACAAACAACCACGAACCATCACCCAAATGCCACACAAACCACCTCCCACTCCTCCTCCCACCTGCTACAACCTACCGGGTCTGTGACGAACATGGTGCACTCTGTGCCCGTGTTGATGCCCCACAGCGGGAAGCGGAGCTGCCCGTCGATGTATTCCGTGGCGCCGCCCTCCCCGCGCTTGCTCGGCCACGGCAGGAAGAACCGCAGCCGCGATGCCTGCAGGCACCGTTGGTGGTGGTGGTGGTGGTGGTGGTGACGATGAGATTTGTGATGATGATGGGGTTTGTTGGTGGTGGGCAATATGTTCACGACAGCAAGGACAGCAGCAACAGCAATGATCGCAACAACAGCATCCACCGCCACACAGCCCGTCATTGCGCACCGCGGGGCGGAGGAAGTTCATCCACTTCTCCTGCAGCCGCATCGTCTCTGCCAGGTGGTTGTCGGAATGGTCCGTTGCAGACTGGGCAGCACGGGGGTGGGAGCAATATCCAGAGTGTGTGGTGAAGGTATGAGTTTGTGGTGTGAGGTGTGGTTGTAAGTATTGGTGGGTGTCTAGCATGAGCGAACAAAACACGCCGTTTCTTCACGCAAGCGCACTTGACAAAGCCAGTAGCCTGCAGAGTGCAAGGCCATGGGGGGGGGGTCACACGTGTGTCACTCACCCTGAAGGAGCACATGAAGAGGATGTTCATGTTGCGAAACTCCTCGGCTTCGTCGAGGTCAAACGCTTTCGGGCGCAGCTCAATCTGCCGTGTGGCCTCGCACTGGCGCACAGCACATGTATGGTGATGGTGGTATGCATGGTGATGGTGGTGATGTATGAAGGTGTGGTGGGGTGTGGTGGAGAGGATGAGCGTGTTGAGGGAGAAAAACGAGGGCAGCTATTTATCCACACACACGCACACGCACACGCACACAAACACACATACACACACGCACACACACACACACACACACACACACACACACACACACACACACACACACACACACCCAGTGACGGTGCCGTCGGGTGCTTTCTCCTCCACCCAGTCGCGTGGGTCATCAAACAGGTCAAGCGGGTGCGGAACGGGCAGTTTGTCTGAAAAAAAGCCACATGCAAGCGTGACACCATGCATGCAAGCGTGACAGCGTGCCGACCAGGAACGTGGATGCTGAATGACCGTGGTAACGGGTTTGTGCAGGAGCAAGGGACGGTCAGGCAGG